GGGAATCAGTGAAGATCATTGTGGTTTGGAGCCCGGAGTGTCCCCTCTCCACCCAAAGGCATCTGGCTTGGACCTGCTCCAGCCCTGCTGCGTTGAGGTGGCAGCAGGGTGGTCAGAGGTGGCCGGCAGGCTGTCGGGGTTGGAGGATCTCAAACGCTGCTTGTGCCTCAGGACCAAGTGTGAGGTTTGCCTGGAGGAGGGGCTTTCTCATGTGCACTCCCCTGCTCATTGAGGCTCTTCTGTCCACTACTCCCTGCCCCCCACACAGGGCAGTCCTGGCAACATGGTCCCCAGTGAGTGCCCTTTTCACCAGGCTCTGTCCAGTTCATCCATGACCCTCCCTTGGGGTGGGACCTGGGCCAGGAGGCAGAAGCCCTGGGGCAATGGCGGCTCTTGCTGGACACAGAACTGGGTCAGCTCACACCGTGTGGGCTTAGACCTCTGAGAACTGCTTGCTGGCTGCTTTAAATCTGTATTAGTTTCCTGGGGCTGCCATACCAACGGCCACAAACTGGGTGACTTACAACAATAGAAATTTATTCTCCCATAGTTCTTCAGGTGAGAAGTCTGAGATCAAGGTATGGGCAGGGCTGGGCTCTCTCTGAAGCCTCTGGGGGAGAACCCTCCCTCACCTCTTCCAGCTTCTGGGGGCTTATGCTGCAAAACTCCAATCTCTGACTTCTTCACACGGCCTTCTCTTCTGTCTCTTATAAGGAGATTTGTCGTTGGATTTAGAGCCAACCTGGGTAATCTGGGATGATCTTATGTGAAGATCCTTTATTTACTTACATTTGCAAAGACCCTTTTTCCAAATAAAGTCACATTCATAACTTTGAGGGCCTTAGACATATCTTTTTTGGGGCCACCACTAAACCCACTACAGCCTCCATACCTGTGGCTCAAAAGAATGAAAGAGGGACAGTGAGGGTGGCTTTGGCCTAGGCAGGCAGTGGGTGCAGAGGGGTGTGGTAGGGGAGGGTATGGATGTGTGACACCCATGATGGGGGGGGGGCAAGGGGCTGCTATCAGGAAGCCCATCTAGTCTGGGCTCCAAGAGTTCAGCTCAGAGGAGTGGAAACTCAACCCTGTGTATGAGGCAGGGCTAAGCCAGGAAGGCTTCCTGGAGGACATGTGCTTCTAGCTTTGTCTTAGAACAGAGAGATCAGTTGAGGGAAGCTGAGTGAGCAAAACAGGCTGAGGAGATATTAATCAAGTTTCCTTATCATACCAGGAGCTCCCAGCCATGCCTCCCCTCATTCTGGGGCTTTCTGGGGCAGAGATGGGCTGCCTCTGTCAGACTGGTGCAC